CTGATATCCTTAGGACTGATAATGATCAGTGATTGTCCCCAACACTAGCTCGGGGGCCAGGCCTGCTAAGTCATGCAGGTAGGTCATCGCAACCCAGTGTAACAGGGGGTCCGAGGGAGGGGTGCTCACAGGTAACAAACAGCTCACCTATCTGGGGCAGCAGGGAAGGCTTCCTGGAGGAAGGGACTGTTGGGACTCCGCCATCCGCACGTTCACCCAACAGATGCCTTCCAACAAGCCCCGTGCCAGGCCTGGTGCTGGGTTCCAGAGATTGGAGGTGAATAGGTCACAGACCCTGCCCTTGAGGGATCCACCTTCCAGGAATACACACGGGAAAATATAAATATAGGGTGACATGGGGCCAAAATGGAGGTGTCCCTGGGTCCGGGGAGGTGTCTCTGGGTCCAGTGCAGTGATCTGTAAAACGCAGGGGCTGCCCTGGGCAGCCTTTAACGTTCTCTGCAACTCTGCATGAGTTTACCTTGAGTCACGTCAAATTCTGCCAAGATGCAAGTCGTCCAGAAGACACTGACTTGCCCTCAGCCCCGCCCCCAGCCTTTCCCAACAGTCCGAGGCACCCCGGTCTCGCTGCAGCAAGCCCCTTGCAGTCAGCCGACCACACAGAGCCCCGGGCTGTTCCCAGGACACCAGGGCCTGTGCATAGTGAGGCCCAGTCACAACCACACGTCGTACACTGGCTGCACGTCGACCTGGCGTGGAAGGCATGCTCAGAAACTGTCTGGGAAGGGGGTGACGGGTTGCCTCGGGGGCCGGGCTTCCTAACGGGGTTTCCTCCACCAGCAGCGGTTTCAAGGTGACATAGTTAAGGGTTTAAGGAGCTCCATCAGCCCCACCCAGGGCCGCCTGAAAGCTGGGTCCATTTCCCGTGAAGAACCAGGGAGGCCGTGGGAGCTACACACTCTGGGCGGGTGTCTCTGCTGAGTGTCTGTCCCCTGTGCTTACCAGAATAAGGAGCAAGGTCTAGCGGGTCTCAGGATAGGGTACTCGGTTCCCCCCCAACACTCTCACCTCAGCCTCTGCACCGAGGGCCCAGGGCAGGCACACGGGTTCCCCCTAAGGCGGGAGTGCCAGTTTGGGGGTGCGGGGATGTATTAGTGACGTCTGCTGCAGGAGTGGCAGCCTGTTTGCTATCTCTGGAGCAGGTTTAGCGGACAAAGGCAAGCCTTCTGTCCCCTGAAATGTTTATTGCACGTGCTTGGTAGATGGTCACCTGTGAATGGTACCCACGCCTGTGCATCTCTACGGGGCTGGGAACACATGGTTTGTTCGAATCATCAGTGAACCACAATGCCCCACCTCCCGGCCTTTTTATCCCGAGAGTGGCTGGAAAAAGACAAAACCACACCTATTTTCATATACTGAACATTAGGATCACCAACACAAGCACGGTACCACCATCCTCATTGTCAGTATCACAGCCATCACCCTCATCAACATTCCCATTCTCCTCCTCCTCTGCCTCTTTCTCTTCATCTTCACCCTCCTCCTCCTCCTCGCCGTCATTGTCAATGCCGTCGCTGTCAACATCGCCATCCGTTCTATCGGCACCACTGGCACCGCCTCCGGAACAGCAGCTGATGCCTACACAGTGCGTCCTATGCGCCAGGCTATGCGCAAATACTTCATGTTACCTTCATTCATTAAGCCTCACACTCTCTCCGGGAAGTAGGTACTTTTATTAGCGCTGTTCTACAGACAAACAGGTCCAGAAATAGCTTGTCCAGGCTACCCAGGCAGGATCTGAACTGTAGCGGTCTGGCTCCCAGGTCCCTGCTTTCACCACGAGCTCAGCGGGATAGGCACAGTTCGTTCCCTCTTCCCAGGACAGAGCGCCGTGGGAGCCATCACCGCCCGCAGAAAAGCAACGTGGAGGGTGGAGCCGCCCACCGGGCGGGAGTCCCACCTCCGGAAGCCCCGCCCCCCAGCGCTCCCCACCCACTTCCGTCCGTAAACCAGGAAGTGGACGGGAGAAGGGTCTCCGGGCTCCCGCAGGTCACCCTCCGGCTTCCAACCCCGCCCCGGAAGGCTCTGCGTGGTCCTCCGGGAAGCCAGCGGGTAGGCTCTCTGGCGGGCTCTCTCGATCCTGCCTGTGACTGTGGGCGGGTCCCAGGGACAAGAACAGTGCAAGTGGGACACTGCCCACTCCGGTCCCCAGACCCCACGCCAGCACTCACTCACTCACAGAGGGTTTCGGACACCAGCGGCCACAGAACGCCCTCTCGGACGTCCTCCTCTCCGTTCCTGAGGTCACTCTCCACCCTGTTCACACGGCAGCTCACAGGTGCCCATGTAGCCCCCGCCTGCCCCCCACCTGGTCAGTGAGAACTTCCACCGAGATCATTCAGCTCCTGCAGCCCAAACCAGACCGCAGGCGCCTTGAGAGAGGGCAGGGGTGCACCATCACCGTCCCACTCACGTCACTGGGGGAGGTAGTGAGGACAGGTGAGGGCGACAATGACAGTGACAGCAGTGGTCCCATCATCTGTGCGTGGAGCACCTCCCCTGAGCCGGGGCACCGCTGCACACCCATTCCGTCTTCAGCACGACCTGCAGTCGGGGTGTCTGGGGCCCATCTAACCAAAGGAGAAACTGAGGCTCAGGAGGGCAATGACTACCTGAACTTTCCCATCAGAGGTGGGTGGCAGCCCAGCGCCCGGCCCGTCCCTGCTGCTCTCATTAGACGGGGTCAAAAGGACACTGTGACAAGAACGAGCTGTCGAGGACCCGGCACCCATACGTCCCATGCGCCCTCACAGCTGTCTGGGCACCTTACGGCAGCTCCTTGAGGGCAGTCATGTGAACTGCAGTCTGGGCACAGACAGCCAACGCAGAGTAAGCATTTTCTGCACACCCATGTTGGTCCCAGGTCTTCCCCAGGAGCTGGGGACACAGGGACACTCACAAAAGGCTCTCTGCCACCGAGGAGCTCACTGGGAACCCTAGTGTGTGACTTCAATGAGGTGGTCCCAACATTGAGCATGTGGCAGACCCTCAAGCAATGAGCTCACAGTTCGGTGGAGGAGCAAGACATGTAACAACCCAGAGTCAGAAGTGCTATGTTGGAGGGTAGCCCAGGGGCTTCTGGGAACAGAGTCGGTACTTGTGTGTGTATGCATAGGTATCAGGGAAGGCTTCCTGGAGGAGGCAAATCAAAAGCATGATGAGAAATTAGCCACAACATGAGGGGTGATAAAGGACCTCCAGGCCAGGGGAAAACCTGAGCTGAGGCTCAGAGACACGGAGCAGTCTGGCGTGTGTATGTGTGGCCAGGACAAGTGTTACTCAGTGTTCCCGGAAGTGGGGGGCGGAGGCCAGAGCCAGGCTGGAGAGACAAGGGGCCCCTGGCAATTCCTGAAGCACAACCACAACCTACTCCTCTCTCATCTTCATCACCAAGCTGGCAAGTGTGACTCCCAGTGGGCTCAGGCAGAGGGGACAGCTAAGCTGGACGCTGGAGGATGTCAGGGCAACAGGGGGGTGACGAAGCGTGGGCCTCCTGGGGGGGCAGGGCTAGCAGGAGGGGACCTAAATTCCGGGGCTGGAGGAGGACAAGCTGGGTCGGCAGCTTAAACCGGCAGAGAAGGGGTCACCCTTGGCCCACCCCACCAGAGCGCTGGGCCTGAAGCAGGGAGCAGAGGGTTGGAAAACGGTCACACAGAGCCACACAGGTGCCACTTGGAACCACTGAGCGAACCGACCTCCAGGCCTTGCCAGCAGCCAGGCCAGCACGTGCCACCAGGCTTCTTGCTGACGTCCTGCCCTGTCTGCCTCGAGCCTGGCCTCCTTCCAGAGGTCTGCGGGCAGGCGCCAGCTCCCCCCTCAGGCTGCCGGGGCCCCGAGCACGGCCAGGATGTGGCCAAACCGGGCCCGATCCAGGCCGTTGTCATCTGCCCAGCACTCAGCCTTAAGTCCATCCCCCGCAAATGACACGGATAAACCACACCAGTGTCCCGAGGAGGTTCTCCTGCAACACCCCAGCTCCCGGGAAGCCCCCGTGTGTGGACGTGGCAGGTGCCCATCTTGGTCGCATGTGTCCCTTCCCTAACACAAATCTCACATGTGGAAAACTCGGGGGCAGGGTTCAGTGCGGAGAAAGCGAGACGCCAGAGAGCCGTGGGGTGGGGGTTCGGAGGCCCGGGTGGAGTACGGGCCACGCCCCTGGGAGACCGGGACCTCGCAGACACACTTCTCCTCTCTGAGCCTCATTTTTCCTCCTCTTGAAAGTGGGGACACGCGGGGAAGACGTGGGTCACTGCTTCTCATCCAGGGGTGCACATCAGTCACGTGCTGCCTCCCCCCCCCCCCACCGGACACCAGCCCCACCCCAGGCCTGCAGAGTCGGAGCCGCACAGACCCTCCGAGACAAATGCCCCCGGGGGTGCCACCCCCTTTGGAGACGCCTGGCTCCAAAGACACCCGCGGCTGCTCTTCCCTCTCCAATGTTCAGCTTGCCGGGGCGCACTTTCCAGAGCCAGACGGTCAAACCAGCACCCCAGACGCAGGGAAGGAGGGCTGGACAGACCGACAACACAAGTCCCCCAGGCTCTCCCCGAGCGCTCGTCCCTGAGCCAGCCCCACGGACACGGTGGCCACCTACTAGCAGGTCCTTTGGGGGCTGCAGGCCACGCAGGGTGGTTTTGGATTTACGGTTAGGGGTTTTGGGGGTGTCACCCCAGGCCTTCATCCCACACACATCCCGTTAGGGAGACATGGACAAATGTGTCATTCAATGCATCGCCTCAATTTCTTTTAAAGAAAATAAGTTTCAAACCCAGGGAGACCTGGGCACCCCAGACTCAAATTCCACCCCCAGGGGAGCCCCCAGGTTCCCAGGAGGCCTGGAGCCCCCCGCCCACGGCTGAGGCAGGCTGTGCGGAGGTGCTCATGGGGCCAGGAACGGGAGGCTCAGCCCCTGCTGGCATCTCCAGGGGCCGAGCCGCGGGGGCCTCGGACTCCGGCCTGGAGCGCTGGGGGCTCACCTTCGCACTGCCGGCCTTCGCCCTTGTAGCCCGGCTTGCAGAGGCATCTGTAGGACTTGGGTGTGTTCTGGCAGATGGCGTCAATGTGGCAGTCATCCGTGCCCTCGGAGCACTCATCCACGTCGGCTGCCCCTGTGGGGAGGCGGGGGGGGGGGTGGGGGGAGGACATCGGTGAGGGGCGGCCCCGGAGGCAGGCGGAGGTGGCGGAGCCGGGAGCTCCTTCTGCCTCAGGCCCCTCATTGATCACGGGGGGGGGGGGGGGGACGGGGGGCGAGGCGCGGAAATGAACTTGGTAACAGCAGTCGCGTGGCCACCAGCGTGACGAGTCCAGACTGGCGGCGTCTTCGGGGCGGCCACTCTCTGCCAGGCCACCGGAGCGCTGGCCCTCACTCGGTTCCGCAACAACCCGTCAAGTCAATCTATTGTCCCCACTGGGAAGGGGAGAAAACTCGGGCTTACGGGCCCAGAGAGCAATGCCCCTGTCTGCTGCGTGTCTTTGCTCTCTCCACGAGCGTTGCTCCAACCCCCCTCTGCCCTCCTCCTTACAAGGCGTAGGGCCAGCAGGATCTTTGAAGGAATTCAGATCCACCCGCTGTGGGTTACAGATGGGGAAACTGCGGCCAGCAGGGAGCCAGGAGCCCAGGCCAAGCCGGGAGGCAGGCGGTCTGAACGTGGGGCCCCACCCAGCCCCCAGGCTGTGGAAATGCAGGGTCCTGCTGACGCTCCCACAGCCCGGCCTGGAGTGCCCAGAGCGGGACCGCGCCCTCCCCTGGGCCCAGAGGCTCGTCCACGGTTCTGACCTCCCCTTCCTCTCTCCTCTCCGCCTCCAAGATCTAGGTGGGAACTCGGTTCTCCCAGCCCGACTCCCCGAGTTACGTTCAGTCTTGGCTTTGGGTGCCCCTGGCTCTCCCCACCCACCTCCCACCCCCAACACACATGGGTGCACCTTCCACCTGAAACAGCGGTCAGGCAAAATACAAAATAGATTTGTGTATCTGTGCATACACACCAACACACACTCCCCTGTGTGCGTGCAACCTCAGACGGGGAGGGGCCCTCGGGGCACAGGGTCACAAAGCTGGAAGGGCCTCGGCCATGACGGAGGTTACAGACCAGGGCAGAGAGGCCCAGGGGCGTCTGCTGTGGCTCACTGGCTCCTTTGGGGCAGGGATGGAACTCGGGTCCAGAGCCCATCTACGTGTCGTGGTGCTTCCTGCTGGCTACGCAGGACGTGCAGGTGGGTGACCGGCACACACAGGGGCCCAGAAGGGCCGTCCAAGAAACTCTCTGCAGCCATGGTCACTCAGGGCCAAGCTTGGGGAAGTTCTGGAGTGTCCTGCGCTCTTCATGCTTCCGGCCTCCCCCTGGACCGTCTGGTCCTTAAGAATGTCCACTCGGACTTAGTCCCTGGGCCAGCATCAGGGGTCGTGGGGGGGCTCTCTAGGAACACTGCTGCTGCCCCACCCCCAGGCTCCTCCCTCGCCCTAGTCCTAAGGCTCCAGCCTGCCCCCGAAGGAAGCAGCACTACGAAGAAACACGAGATCACCTCCTGCACGTGCTCGCCCACGCACACAGCAGGCGGCATCTCTTTTGCGGGGGTGGGGCGGTGCACAGCTTCTCAGGTGGCAGCCCATCCTCCACTGCTGCCCAAAGGAAGGTGGGACAAGGGGCCAGGAGGCCCGCGCCCACCCTCGGTGTCCAGCGGCCAGCAGGAACATCGGGCCAGCAGTGCATCCCCTTCTGGGAAGTGGTGACAGAGGGACCCCTGGGCAGGGGTGGCACAGCCTCAAAGGCAGGAAGCCAGAGGCCAGGGAAGGCCAGTCTGCATCCTTCCAGGGGGAGGATGGCGGCCACGCCTGAGACAGGACCCTGCTCGCCCCCTTCCTGAGGGTCAGTGCACAGGAATGACGGGAGGGAGACCACCTGGGGCCCTGGAGCCCCCTGGGCCCCGACCCCCAGCCCCCACCTAGTAGGTGCCCTCATGAGGGTGGCAATGAGTGACCGCTCACTCAAGGGCGGTGGAGCCCCCTCCCAAGACACCTTTCCAACACTTCTTCAGGTGGGTGCTGGGGAGAGGGCAGGTGAGTTCCAGGAGAGAGGGGGAGGAGTCACAGGCCATCTAACCCCCCGGCCCCCTGGCCATGACGTGCTCCCTGCCCTGGGCTGGGGGCTCCCCTGCCGGGCATCACAGGCTTTGACTTGGGTTTGTTTCCCAGCACGAGGCCTCCGTGGGGTGGAGACGGGTGGAGAGAGACACAGACACAGACACAGAGAGAGACGGAGGCGGGGAGAGGCACATTCAGGAACAATCGCGTGGGTTTTGAGGACCCCAAAGCCTGGGAGAGACACCCACGGACAAGTGGGGGTACGGGCAGCAGGGCCCGGCTTCCTGGGGGTGGGGGTGTGAACAACCACTCGGCCCCAGACACAGCTCGGCTGAAGTGGCCTGGCATGCTCTCGCAGGGCGTGACTCCCAGGCACAGGGACCCGTGGGCAGATGCAGACTTCAGGGAGCCCTGCCGGGCAGCCGGCGGGGGGCCCAGAGAAAGCGGAGGAGAGCACCAGGGGCAGGCAGGACCCTCCCCTGACCTCCCCACACCAGAGAAAGGGAAAGAGAGGAAGCTCGTGGGAGGGGAGACCCTGATTTCAGCTTTGTGGGAGCCCTCTACGCAGACCACCGAGGGAACAGAAGGGGAAGGCGCGCGAGTGCCAGGGTCCCAGCCGAATCCTGGGGAGCCCCCGCTTGGCCTCTGCTGCCTGCCCCGACCCAGGCCGGATGCCAGTAACCTCCTTCCTCAGCGTCTCCACTTCGTTTCCTCTCCTGGACCGCCCCGCCCATCATGTCCCGCGTCTGGCGGCCTCTCCCTCTGGTCCCCATCCATCTCCTGGCTCTGTGTCTGTCCATCCGTCCTCCCCCTCCTGTCTCACTGTCCACCATCTGCCCATCGTTTTCCAGCCACCCCCCCCCCCCCCCCCCCGCCTCGGCCGCGCTCCCGCCCCGCCAGCGGCACTCCCAGTCCCTCAGCCCTTTCCCGGGCGTGTCTGCCTCCACCTCTCCTCCCGCTGCCTTCCTGTCCCGGCGGGGTCCGTCCTTCTGGTCCTGCGTTCTCCCTCTTTTGATCTTTCTCTGTCCTGCTGCCTGTGGGCCGCCGCCGCCTCCCTCCCCCCGTCTCCTCCTTTCCTCCTCCGGTCCTCCTTCGGGTCCTTCTCTGCTCTTCCCTGTCTGTCTTTCTCTGGGTTTCCTCCTGCGTCCTTTTGTGTGTTCCCTCTGTGTCTGCGGCTGTCGGTCTGTCCCTCCATCTGCGAGCCCCCCCCCCCCTTTCTTTCTACGTGCGTCCGTTTTCCCTCGGTCTCCCCTCCGAGCCTCCTTCCGTCCACGCTCCAGTCTCCCCTGGGGAAGCGTCCGTCTGGCTCCGGGGTCCCCGCTCCCCGCCCTCGGTCCGCGCGCCGGGGTGGGGGGGGGGGCCCGCGGTCGGCCGTCGCTCTTTCTTCCTTCCTCTCGCCCTCGCCCTCCTCTTCCCCCGGGGCCTCACCCCACCCCGCCCCTGCTGCGGGCCCGCTGGGCTCCGGGAGCCCCCGGGCGGCCCGGGCTGCGGGAAGGGGGCGCCCCGCGCGGGTCCCAGAAGTTACTTTGCAAAGAGGCGAGGCGGGGCACGGAACCGCGTGGGCTGCGGCCCTCCCCACGGCGCGAGGTAGGGGAGCCCCCCGGGACCCCGCCGCCGCCGCCGCCGCCCCGCGCCCGCCGCCCGCCGAGTCGGGGCTTACCTGGGAGCCCGCTGCCCGCCGCCAGCCGCCCGCACGCACCCAGCGCGAGCAGCACGCACAATTGCCAGCGCACGGCCGCCGCGCCCATGCTCGCTGCGGGCCGGGCCGGGCCGGGCCGGGCCGGGGGTGCGGGCGAGCTGGGCGCGGGATTCCCCGGACCGGCCGCTCGGCTAGCGCTCCTCGCCGCTGGCTCCCGGGCCACCGCTCGGGCTCGCAGCCACCAAGCCGGCGCGGCTGACGAGCTGACAGCCGTGCGTACATTGGCTCACAGCCGTCGGGGGCGGGGCGCCGCGCACGGCTGGCCAATGGGCGCGAGCCGCCGGCCCGCGGGGGGAGGGGCGGGGGGTGCCCCGGCCACCCCCGCTCCCGGCGGGCGGCAGGTGGGGGGTAGGGGCTCGGGGCGGCTCGCGCGGCCGCGGGGTGCACGGTCTCGGCCAGGCTGTGGCTCACACGGAAGCTGCTCCCTTCCTCTGCCTCATCTCCCCCGTCAACCCCCTCACTGAGAGTGACCGCCGCCCTGGGGGCTGCACCCCACCCCCACCCCACCCCCACCCACACACTCAGAGGTGCGGAGGGGCCTGCCAGCCGGTCTTCGGAGATCGAGCAAGGCTCGGCGGCATGGAGTTGCAGTGAAAGAAACGCCGACGCGCAGAGCAGAATTCATTCATCCTTTCGGCAAATATCCATTGAACACCCACTGTGTTCCGAGCGCCAGCAAGGCAGCGGTGAAGTAGCCAGCTAGGGGGGAAAACCGTGGAGATCGGTTTAAAATTTACATTCCAAACAAATGAACTTTTTACCACTCCCCAAAGGACAGGGGCCCCTCAGCGCGCTTGTCGTAGGACAGTCGCAGAGTCCGCGTCTGGAACGGGGCCTGGAAGGCTCCGGCACGGACAGAGCTGCTTTGCCCACCGTCCTGGCCGCGTGGCTCCTCCGCCGGGCTGACCTCTGGGCCAGCCGTTTGATGCCCGGAGAGTGTGAGGTCTGGGGCCGCCCCAGTGACAGACAGGGGCAGGGGGGCGGTTTGGGGGCAGCGGGGGCATCGCGGTCATTCAACCCAAGGACGGCTCTGGCCGCCCCCGGCATCTACACCTGACGCCGGCTGGTTGGCCTTGGGTGCCCGAATCGAGACCCCCCGCCTGGGCGGCGCGGCTGGAAATAAATGGCCCCTCTCAGCCCGAGTCTGGACGCTTTAAGGGAAGAAAGTTCAGCAAACCCCAAGGCCCATCTCCTTGACAACCACCAATAAGAGCTCCTTTTTTCTTCTCCGGCTCTCTCGGCCTGACTCAAAGGCAAGACTTTCCTCTTTTTGTCCGCTCTGCCTGCGTGAGTCTGCGCCCAACGTCCCGCCTCCCGCCGGCTTCCGTCCCTGCCCCCGGCCGACCCACACTCGCACACACCCAGACGTGCCGACCCGTGCTCTCACACGCACACGCCTTCACACAGGCCGCTGTGGCCTCAAACATGCAACCCGCCACACGCGTTGACACGCACGCATTCCTGCACATCGCACTCACACACGCATCTGGAGCTCATCTCCACAGCCCCAGCGTCCCCACCCTCGCTCCAACCTGACTGCATATCACCAGCAGTGCGTGGCGCTGGCCTGGTGGCTGGAGCAAGGGGTCCCCCACCTGGGGGGACCGGGAAGGGCCAGGAAGGAAGTGCTTCTTTTCGCCTCCGGCAAGCCTTCCCCACCCCCCACCCCCCATCACTCGGGACATCTCCCTCTGCACAGTGGCTCCCGGCTGGTGGCTGGATTCTGGGGGGTCCCATCACCAGGCTTTATTTCATCCTCTTCCTGGTTGCGTGGCTTTCGGTTTCTGGGGGAGAAAGCTCCCCCAGGACTACGTGTTGTCTTGCGTGCATTAGATAACAGGGCAAGATGTGTGAGTTTTGGGGGGGGGTCCTTTCAGAGGGCAGTGCCCTCTAATGTCCCTGTCCCTCGGGGACCCCCACCTCAGTCAGGTGCCCCCCAAGCTTGATGGCAGCAGGGAACAATTCTTCCAGGCTCTGTCGCCCTAAATCAGAGAGGGAATGGAGACAGGGTGACGACGGTCTGTTAGGATGTGGACCCCCGAGACCCAGGGGCGGCTCTCACTCCTCCCAGATCCTAGCCTGTAAGATGTGCTGCCAAAGAAAAGGCAGTTTTTGCCACAAGGAGGCTGTGCTCTGTGCAGAGGAGTCGGGGAGCAGGGGGGAGGAGGGAGGTGGAGGGGAGACACATGTGTGAGTCCCCCGCAAGTGCACTAGAGGAGGTGGCCAAGAAAGAGGGGGTCCCATCTGCCCTGGGGTGCTGTCAGGGAGGCCTCCCGGAGCATGGAACCCTAGAGTCAGGCTCGAAGTATGAGGAGGTGATTTTTCTGACGCACGAGAATGTGCCGAGGTCCTCGCGAGCGGGTGGGCACCGAGGAGCAAAGGTTCTCGACGCACCTGGTAAGCCGTACAGCACTGTGCATGTGTGTGACGGTGACGCATAGAGAGGGGCTCACAGTGACGGCCGTGTCTGTGCCTCTGGGCTCCAGCCAAAGGCATCTTGCAGCCGTTAGGACCGAGCTCGGAGAGTGGAGGCCCAGGGAGGAGCTGGACATTCTGTTTGGGGGAGAACACCCCGTGGCTCCCCATCATCCTCCAAACAGCAGGCTGACAGCGCTCTGTGTCTCCCCCCGTGGCCAGTCCCATCCTTGCCGCACCTTGGGGCCAGGGGGGCCCCGCAGACACCCCGCTTTCACACTGCCACGCCCTTGCTCGACAGCCCCCTTCGCCGGGACCACCCTTCCCCCCTTCTTCACAAGGCTCCCCGCTCCTCCTCTGCCTGCATCCCGACCCCTACCCCCAAGCAGATTGTGGGGCCCTCCTTGGGTGCCCCCCTAGATTCCCCGGGCATCCCCATCAGAGTCCAGCTCACCCTGAATTTCACATCCATCTCCTTCCAGACTAGGGGTTCCCAGAGGCAGGGCTCACAGCTCATTCATATCTGGTGTCACAGCTGCCAGATGATGCCTAAGAAATGATCATTGAATGAACGAACGAACAAACGAAGAAACTGGACAGATCTCACTTGGCTGGGAAGTCGTATCGCTCCAGGGAGTGGATAAAGGTTCTTGGGCTATTGGACGGGGCCTTGGGGAGTGAGTCCAGCTGCACACCCTCTCCGGCCACCGCCACACTCTGTGCCCCGTGGGGAAGCTGGGCTGGCCAGCGGGACCCCTGTCCTGCGGGGCCCTTTGGCTCCCCCTGCTGACACCTGGTGGAGGTCTCTTCCTGCCAGGAATACATGGCCTGCCCACCCTGCTCCTCCGTGGAAGAACACCTGATTTTCAAACAAATTTCCTTAGGGGCAATTGTCTTGATTAATGCCAATTGTGGAAGTTCTTTGAGGAAATATGGTTCTCTGCATGTACAAACTGTTATTAACGGGATGTTAAGCTTCGGTCTGAATGACTGAACAGACTTTTGTCATCCTTGCTTATTAAAAGGAGCTTTCATAATAACGCCTCTGCGTGCACACTTCCCTAGACTGTCGAAGGTAGTCCTTTTACCACCCCTTGGTGGCCCTGGGCCCCACAGGCCAGGTTTCTTGGCTCACCCCCACCCCGTCACGTGAGGGTCTGAGTCCCCAGGACCCTGGGCATCTCTGGCTCACACCCCAGGCCCCCCTGAAGGGGCCCACCTGAGCGTGGCACTCAGTGCGCTCTGCCCTCCCCACCGCCTCCTCTCCCAGGGACACCACGGTTGCCTGTGCTGCGTGTCCCTGTCCTGTGCATGGCGTCATTTAACCCCGAGAAGTAGACGCCACCGCCAGCCCCACTTTACATCTGAGAAGATGGAGACTCAGGCCACTTGCCTGCGACAAGGGCAGAGCTGGCAGGTGGCAGGGGTGGGATTCGAACCCAGGTATGTGCGACTCCAGAAGATGCTCTCTTTACCGTCACCCGTTACTAAAACCCGCTCTGAGGCTCCAAGGGCATCCGACAGCGCCCTGTGCAACGTGTGCAGTTGGCTTCTGTGGCGTCGGCAGCGGGCAGAGTGGTGCTCACGCAGCGTCCAGACGCACTGCAGCAGCTCAATTCTCACGGGAACGACTTCAGGGGCTGCGTCGGGGTGTGGGGTGGGGTTGTATAGAAGCTGACACTGGGGGTGGTGTGACGCACAGACACCCCCCCACACCCCCAGGCCGGGAGGACACAGGAGACAGGGGGACACCTAGAAGGGCTCTCGGAGTCTCCTAAGCAGAGCGTGGGTGCCAGAGGCACATCCTTCTTGCCATGTTGGTGCGGAGCTTTGCGATTCACCGGCCCCGTGCCCACCGGCCCCTGGGGTCCTGCCTGTAAAACAGTCTCATGCTGCAAGTTCACAGACACTCGGACGGGAATTCCCTCCTCTCGCAACGCCCTTCCCTGTCCAGTGGGCCCGGCAGACCCAGACGCAAGGCTCAGCTCAGGAGCACCGTCCTCGGGGCCCTCCCCACACTGCTCGGGGGCCTTGGGGAGTAAACCCAGCTGCCTGCCTTCTCCCAGTCACCTCCGTCCTGTGTGCCCGTGGGGAAGCTTGGCCCGCCAGCAGGACTCCGTCTTCAGGTGTCCAGAGTGGGTGACCTGGGGCTCTTCAGCCTTACAGGAGGTCCCGCCGTGGGCACTGGTTCAGCTTTGCAACCTGGAACTTACTGGCTGGTAGATCTGCCTTCTGCTTAGGCTGGGATGTTGGAGTGTACAGCCCAGACTCCCTGGTCACCTAGCATCCCTCCCACACCTCCGCCCAAGGCGTCCGTGGTGAGCGAGTGGCTCTGGCTAGGCCATTCATTCCATCTCACAACGCTGGCCATATCATTGGTCCAGGCCAGGACATGTGACTACGCCAAGCCAATCAGATGCTTTCCCTGGGATTCTTTAAGTGAGGCTGGTGGGGTGTGGCTCCTCCTCTGTGTAGGCAGGGAGTAGTAAGCGTGGGTGCCCAGAGCTGCTGTCACTGTGCTGCTGCCATGGTGTGGACAGCTGGCCTGAACCGTGGACGCACCATTCTGACAGAAGCAGAGGGGAGAGATGGGGAGGGAAAGGGGAGGGAAAGGGAAGGACCTGACAGTGCTGAGGCTCTGTTTAAGCCACACTTTCCGTTCCCAAGACCAGCAGCTACGCTGGTTTCTGTCACTTGAGCCACTGGGCAGGGTTCAGGGACATCTCCATGATATGACACAGCC